TTTTTTTGTATCTGGCTTCACCTATTGGGATATCCTGTGTACCCGGCTGGGTTTTGTAACGCTGGCCGCCGGCCCCGCGGTGGCAGGGTGTGGCTGGGGCTGGATTCCTCTGCTGCTTTTAAGACTTGTTTGCCTTGTTTTTCAGTCAAAATGCAGCACTTTGGAGGTTAAATAAAAATGCCAGATTCTAAATTTTGTGCCAAATCTGTGACTTTCAAACGAAAATGATGACCAATTAACCGTTATAACTGAAAACCTTATATATAACATTTTCTGTGCAATGGAACAAATAGCACGTTTCCTTCTATGCAACTTCATACGCTAGCCTGCATACCTCACTTTTTTCGTAAAGGCAGTTGTACAACTGCATCTTTTAGTATTTATTTAACTTTGCAGTGGAAATTACTGGTAATCAGAAATATTCATCCTCTATCGAGCATTCCCCTCCTCGTGCGCTGCAGCACTCTGCTGTCACGCGGGCGGGCTTGCAGGTGTCAGGAGTGCGAGGTGGTGGGGCCAGAAGGAGGCCGTGGCACCGCTCAGCTACCAGATGTGACCTCGGCAAAGGCGAGAAGGGCGAGAGGAGTCTGTTGTGTAATTCTCACAGGTAGCTCTGCCACGCAGCATAGAGCGCCTTTATTCCCGCTTTCTATCAAGTGGAGTGCCTTGAGGTGTCAGTATAGGAAATAGATTCCCTACCACCACCACCCTTCTATGCATTTGTGGGTCAGGGGGAAATGAGGCTGTATATAGAAATGCATGCTATAAAATACCATTCTGGAGTTCATATAAAACCCAGTATTTGTATGTGTGTATGTTACATGTAGGCACATGCCTAGCTCTAACTTTGAGATGAAGTATTTCATGTTTCCATGTCTTTGGGAGATGTGCGGGGAGGATCTTTATCTTAAGCGTTGTTCTGCGTTCTCAGCCCTCAGTATCAGAAGAGTCATAGTCTGTACCTTCTTCAGTTAACGTCAACTTCATACCTTTGAAATTAATTGTAACAGAATTCACTGTTGTTCTTTGTCTTGTATCATGGTTTCTCACCACTAAGAATTACTATTTCTGATGTGATAAGCTCTCTATATTTGGGGTTTTTTTAAACATCCATTACATTGTTGTAAAAGAGCCTGTAATGCAAGGCTGCTATGAAGAATAGGCTGTATGACTTAGTGGGCGAGAAACACTATTGTGAACAAGACATTCTAAGAGCTTAAGTAGAAGTCTTCAAAGTCTTGATTAATAAATATCAAGCACTTATACTTCCTGGGATTTTTTTGATTTGTTTTTTTTTTTTTTTTAATGTTCTTTATTCCTTTTAGTTTGAAGAAATATTTCTTGTGTGATTAATTGTAGAAATTATTCATTGTGGGAATTAGTAACTTGTTAGATTTGACCGCTGCACACAGGGAATTGGGATGTGTATGAAAGGGGGAAATGAGAGGGACAGAATGATAGTGGCAGTTTTAATGATAAAAGTGTTAAATATTTTCTGCAGGAAATAGCTGGAGTCTGTATTTTGTTAAGGTACCCAAACATTTTTTCATTTAGTTTATTATTGTAGCATATGGGGCTATTGTGTAGTGCACATTGGGGTTGTAGCCTGTCATATTTTTTGTCCTTGCTACGCTTCTGTCCCTGGTGAGAAGATAAACAAGATGTTTTTTAGGATTTTGTTCTTCAAAGCACAGCTTTGTTTTAGTTAAAGCTTTCTTGTGTAAACATTAGTGTACGTATTTACCTGCTTGGATTGCCTTGAAGCGTATTCTTCATGATTAAAATAGAGTTAGCAAGCCGAAGTTGGGACTCCCTTTGGGATTTTCCCCTTACCCCCACGTCTAAATTTCACATATCATACTAACTCTTGTATCAACATGAGGAGAGACAGGCAGAACTGAATTCCTAGCTCTCACTTAGCTTCGGTCATGCTACTTACCTGGCTTGGCAGGCAGCACCCAACCGCTTTGGTACCAACTGTTTACACATCAAACATATTACAATATGTGTATATGAAAGACTTGCTAAAAGGGTTTCAGGTAGACAGTTTCCCAGGGCTTGGGTGGCAGAGTGGATAGGTGTGGTGGCGTGTTTTGAGCAAAAGCCTGCAATTCTTGTAATACAAATTCTTGGAAGCGTTCACTTGTTAGTCTCAAATAACCCCCAAGGTAACTCTGCCTTTGGTTCTTGTTGTAGAGCATACCACTGTCTCTGTATTCTTGAAAATGCCGTTTTCTGACTATCTTTGTACAAACTGAGTGATTTCTTCCCCATGCCTCTTGTGTTTATCCTTTCTCCTAGCGCAAAGGCTGCAACTCAGTTGTAGAACTGTGGACTCAAGATTTTAGCATTCTTGTCATTGCCAAAAGTTACAAGGATTTTTGAAGACTTTTAGCTACAGGTGTTCCACTGCTCTTCCTCCTGTGCAGTTTAACAGATGTCTGATGTGCCTTTTGGAACAAATCCTCTCATACATCTATGCCTCAGAGTGGTAGCGACTGTCTTCATATGCCACCGTTCCTTAGCAATAAGGAGACCTCACCTAGTTGAAACATCTTGCATGTACAAAGGGAACACATTTTTCTTTGAAGTGCCTTGTTCAGCTACGTCAGTATCATTTTACGCTCATACGTTCCAACTCTCACCAGAAAGTTCATCCTTCTAGGAGATGAGAGGAAAGTCAGCATGTCTATTTAGAATTTCCTCCAAGCTGACTTCAGTACAAAAACTGCTAGGAACCCAACTCATCAAATGCTTTTGATAATGTGGGTGGCTCTGTGTGTTACAGGGTTTTTTCAAATTCCTTGACTGTTCTCAAGGAAATAGTTAATTCAAAGTGGGATTGAGGACTAATATCCCGTTAAGTTACCAAGTGATGCACTTTGTGTTTGGGTTAGTTAAGTCCTTTCCTCTTTGTTGAGAAAAGTAATAAAAAATATGCACACAATGAAATGATGGGCATGGGAGTTTTTGTGTGTTGTGGGGGTTTTTTAACATTAACAAAATGGATATTCCATGTAAAAAATATTGAGCTCCCATGGTCTAGAAGTGCATACATAATCGGTAGCAAAATCTGCAAGGGCAGCTTGTCAACACTAGCAGCTGATCAAAAACCTTGTATGATTTTGGACACTACACATGACAATATTGACACTGACATAGCTAACAGGCATAAATACTTTTATCACATTTCATACAATTTAATTTATTCAGATAGCCTGTGCAGAGGCTAAGCTTATTTTTGGATGTGTTATTTTATGTAATTACTGCATTTCAAATAAATTTTGCTTTGCTTTCAGAAAGGTCATTGGCTAACATCTCAGTTTATATCTCTGTAAGCTTGAGTTTACAAAATCCCTGTGCTTAGAGGACAACGACTTAAAAACTTGACTAGGAAGGAGAAGTTTTCTCCTTTAAAAAAATAGCAGAAAGCCCTAAACCAAAGTTAGGTGCTTATAAAGGCTGTAAAGAGCAATTTGCCTTGGAACACCGGCTAATAGTAAAAGTAGTACAAATGCAGGTTGGGGGTGGGGCAGTTTACCCTCTACAGGTTCAGAGTTACCACAGTTACATGCTGCCAATAATACTGGCTTCCTTCGAGTTATCTTCAGAGGTATTTTGATTTCCATAACTCACAGTAATATATTTAAAAAAAAAAAAAACAAACACCCAAAAAACCTCCAAAACCTGAAAAACACAGGCTTACAGAGATGAGAACAAAGGAAGAAATCCACTCTCTATCTCCATTATTTCCTTTCTATGAATGGAAAGGCTTCTGTGTTTGAAGTAGTTCTTTTTTGAATAGACTAGTGATTCTGTAGGTTTTGGTTTGACTTCATACTGTGTATTTGCATACCAAAATCCAAATGTAGATGACATTTGTCACCGTTGTTGTCTGACTTCTTCGCTGTCTTGGAATAAGCATACAGATGCAATGCCAGATTCCATACAGGTTTTCAGAAGTACTAATCTTTAAAATAGCATTTTTCATTTTTTTCCCCCTCGAATTACTACTCACACCAAGCTTGTTGAGAAACAGTACTGTGTGAAAATTGGTAAAATTTCAGGAATCCAGGTGATGAGCAGCATGGTAGAAATGCATGAGGTTAGTGTAAGGCTTCACTGAGACAGAGACATGCTGTTTTCGCCTTTTCAGCTTTGCTTTCATTGCCTTACACCAATGTATTTTCTGTTGTCTTCTGTCTCCCTTTCTGTTCTCCAGCTGCCTGTGGCGAATTGTACCACCTCTCTGTCAATAATTGCTACTTTCTCATTCCTTGCTACTGCTCTCCTAGACTCCTTTTTGCCATACCATTAGTGCTTTCCGGCAGGATGATCAAAGTGCACGTTCTGAGGCTTACCTTTTTCATGCTCCTTGGAGTCTCAAGGAAACAGTATCTGCTTGTGGGTGTTGGCTCCAAAACCAGGAGTGTGGAACTCAGGCTCTGACAGAAGGAGCCTGCTGGGTCTCAACTAAAGGGGCTGGTTATTGCCATTATTTTATTCCATCCTTTTCCTTCAGGTTCCTTTTCAACTTCTGCCACTGTTTCCTTGGACTCCACAGATCTTTTCTTGACTTTTCATTGACCTGGGCTGCTTTGCTGTCTACCTTTGGCTTCAAGCGTTGGAAGTAGTAAATGAAGGAAGACTGATGGAAACACGTTTAACATAGTCTGCTGCTTGTCATCCACTGCTCTAAAAAAACAACTTCACTTTTTCTTGGGCTAGGTAAAATGCTTACAATGCACGTCTTGCACGCTGTTCTAGGAGTTCCAAGTACCAGATGAATTCCAGGGCTGGAGCTGGCTACCACAGTACCATGATGTTACACATTTGTGAAACCAAAATTACATTCATCTCTTTAATTGTAATGCTGAATTGAAATCTCTTGTTTAGGCTCTTGTCCAACACTGCACTGTCTTGCTTTTCAGGTTTCTCTTTCCCATTAGATGTTGTTCTTTAACCTTTCTCGACTATGCTAGTTCTCATGTTTACGAATGTTCTTAATTTATAATTTTGAATGTTCTCTGTTCATACTAGCTTTTTAGCGTTGATGTTGCTGCTATAACCATGGATATTTGCAAATCAGGTGTGTTTTAATGTGTTCTTGTGCTGCTTCTGAACTTTTTAGTGAAGTGAAAGTGAAGACTGAATTACTGTCTGAGGCTCATAGAAGGTATTTGCCATTGTTTTTTCTTCTTTTTGTAACCAAAAAAACCCAAAATCACCTTCCACCAAAATACTTCAAAGCTCATACATACATGGGCAATGTATGTATGAAATCTGCATGTGAGGCTTTGTCTCCACTTTATCATTGATGTTCTTTGAAACTGTGCTTTTGATGTTCAGCTTCTCATAATGCCACCGTGCTTTATTTCATCTGTTCATATTCAGCAGAATTTTGATTGTAGCAGAATTAGTTATAGCTTTTAAGTAAAAAGGCTTTATTTATTCTTTATTACACCTTGCTCAGATAATTTCACCAAATGTTCAGCCAACACATTATTACTGTTAGTCAGAATGTAAATTAGAGGCTGACGCACTTGCCTCATCAGCTTACAAATTAAGCAGTTAATCCATTTTGGTGTGATATT